AGAGAATTGGCCATTGTTATTGGTACTACTTGATGACCTTCCACAAGTGACCTTCCAATCTTCAAATCCGCTGGCCTTGATGGGTTTTCCACCGCTTCCACAAGCATTGGGCTTCCTTGGGGATGTTCTTTTCTCCTACCCCAAATTATGTTCTCTGACATATTGTAGTTGACGTAAGTGCTGTGACATGCAAATCAACAGATGTAGCAACACTTACGGGAATTTGGCCTTTGTTGTTTCCAAACGTCATTTTATCAAAATTAATTACACACTTCCTCGGTATTAAGTAGTCAAACCTTAGTATGCATTGGTCTTCAATGTCAGCCAAGTATACTTTGTGTCTGTCCTTCATTCCCATGAGCTCAATAGTTACCCACACTGGTCTCCACAACCTTGCATAATGTCCTGTCACACCATAAAACTTCTGTGTGGCTTCTGGTACTCCTTTGTGATCCAGCACCTTGATACTCACTATGATTTGCTGAGATTTAGAATCTATGACAAAGTTGCACTTTTGGCCACCTAGCTTTCCTGTCACGTAGACACTATGTGAGCTTGGCATTTTACACCTAGCTGTTGGGACTTTCATGGTAGGTGTTGGTAGGCATCTTTCAACACGAACCACTACTGGTTTCACCGAAGCTTACTTATTGGTAGTATTCTTCTCACACTGGCTCCTCATATGTCCTTGCTCTCCACAGTTCCAACAACCTTTCTGGACCGTGGCATCTTCCCTGTGTTGAAGTTTCCAGCATTGAGCTTTCTTGTGCCCAGGTTTGTTACAGTGCCAGCAAAGGCCCTCAAACTTCTCTGAAAGCTGCCATTTTCTGGCCTTGAATCCTGATGACTGTACTAACCTTGGTACCTCTGTGCTGGACTTAATGTAAGATTCAAATTCAAGAGCTCTGGCCATTGCATCCTGCATAGTAAAGGGGTGTGCTTGCTTGATTTGTATCTTAAGTTGTGGACTGTCCAAGGCATCTACAAACTGATCCCCCAGCAACAGTTTGAGGACATCGGGTGGTGCAGTTGGGTAGGCCTTGTGTGCCATACTTTCCAAGTCCTGTGCCAACTCTTGCAGGCTCTCTCCTTTAGCACGGACTCTCGTCCTAAACCTAGCCCTGTAGACTTCCGACTGATTTTGAGTTCCATATCTGAGCTCTAGAGCAGCTACCAGTGCTCTATAGTTGTGCATGTCGTCTGCTGACAACTGTCCAAGTATTTCCAGTGGTTGTCCCTTCAAGCTCGTTGATAGCTACACTGCCTTCTGCTCCTCTGTCCATCCATTGATTTTGCCAGGAGCTCAAATTGTGCTTCATATGCTTCCCACGGTGCCTTTCCGTCGAATTTCTGTGGCTTCCTTTGTAATAGATCACCCTTATTGCTGACACTCATGTCTGGAATGTGACTTCTGACAGGACTGAAGACACTCACCTTATGAAGAGTTGCTTGAGAATGTGTCCACTCCAGCAAAGTTGATGTTTGGTCGGGAAATTCGGTTGCCAGTGGATCTGTTAACAGGACGCCCACCTTATGAAGAATTGCCTGAGAATGTGTCGGAGTTTGTGAAAGTGTTATCGGAAAGGATGGATGATATCCACCATCAAGTGCATTCAAACTTGAAAACGTCTGCTGATTCGATGAAGTTAACTTATAATAAGAGATCTACTGAAGTCAACTTTGGACCAGGAGACAAGGTGTGGTTGTATAATCCCAGGAAGACCAAAGGGAAGTCTCCTAAGTTGTCTTCTCCATGGGAAGGCCCATATGACATAGTGGATCGTCTCTCAGACGTGACTTTCCGAATAAAATGTGGTCGGCGAGGTAAACCAAAAGTGGTGCATGCCAACAGGCTTTGGTGTTATCACAGTCCAGGACATTTCAGTTGGAAGTGGAGAACAGAACAAAT